TACTCTACTCTACAGCTTTAGCTGGTGTAGAATGCAGCTGCAAGAGTTGCAAATGGTTTTGGTTATTTGGCACATATAACACCACTGCTTCAGGGCTGCATTGATTGCCAATGTGTTTCTGAGTGGATTTCAAGGTGCTGGTTGTCCCCTTTAAAGCTCTTTTGTGGCTTGTTTAGTGTGTTCGAGTGATTTGCATTCAGGTACATGTGTTTTTGAGGGATTACAATTGGTTGATTCCAGTGGTGGGATTCAAATTTTTTTACTACTGGTTCTGTGAGCATGGCTTGGTGGACGTGGCAGAGGAAGGATACTGTAAAATCTCCAGTCAGAGGTGGTATTTGCTGGTTCTCCAAACTACTCAAAATTTCCACTACTGGTTCTGAACTGGTCAGAACCTGCTGAATACCACCTCTGGTTGATTCTCACAAGGCCATTTTTTCTTGTGTTGCAGGGAACCATCTCTTGCTGCTTGTTCACAGGCATGTTATAAGCTAGAATAGGATAGGAATAGGAATGGAATTTGAATTTGAATAGAATTCTTTATTTTGGACACACAAGAAATTTGTCTCTGGTGCACAAGCTCTTGGTGTGCATACAAACAACAAAGTGATAGGTCATATGTCATAGACCATACTTATAATCAATCATAATATGCAAGTGACTAGCTCGATAACTGTGCTTTGCTACGAAACTATGCAGTCGGGCTTAGTTTTTGGGGAGGAAAATAAGGGGGGAAAAATTCTGCCTGTCTACCAGCATCCATCGGTATTCATCTGGCTAGTGTCCTGTCAGCATGTGAGAGAGTTGAGGGCTGTTTGGAAACTGAAACAGTGTTTGCTGTGTGAGCAAGGAGACAGCAAGGAGCCTGGGTGTGGCTTAGCTCAATTGTTCTGTACTAAAGCTGGTTGCTGCTGTGAAATTAAAACTGAAACTCCTCTCCTCTGCTTGTGTTTTGCCTTTGGAACAGATTTCTTTTCAGGTGGGGAGGGGGAGTAGAACTCCTTAGCATCAGAGCGTGTTAATAACAATATATGAAAGACTAATGCTCTGATGGTCATTTCGAAAAATCCTTTCTTAGTGAGCACCTAGAAGCCAAGAGATGTGCCAAATTTCAAGTTTGTAGGCTTTATGGTTCTGGAGATTTTATTTATTTATTTTATTTATTTGATTTGCCAATTGTTTACAAGATAATAAGTATAAGTGTATACATAGTTGTGAATACATGAAATGGGTACATATAAGAAAAATAAAAGAATAAGAGAAACAATAGGACAGGGACGGTAGGCACGTTGGTGCGCTTATGCACGCCCCCTACAGACCTCTTAGGAAAGGGGTGAGGTCAATAGTAGACAGTCTAAGGTTAAAGTTTTTGGGGTTTGGGGAAGAAACTACAGAGTCGGGTAGAGTATTCCAGACATTGACCACTCTATTGCTGAAGTCGTATTTCCTGCAATCAAGTTTGGTGCGGTTAACTTTGAGTTTGTATCTATTGTGTGCTCTTGTGTTGTTATGGTTGAAGCTGAAGTATTCATTGACAGGTAGGACATTGCAATGTATGATTTTAGACCGAAGACGGCGTAATTCAAGGTTTTCTAGTTCTAGAATTTCAAGTCTGGTGGCATAAGGTATTCTACAACGAGTAGAGGAGTGGAGAACTCTTCTTGTGAAATATTTCTGGACTTTCTCAATTGTGCTAATATCAGATATGTAATGTGGGTTCCAGACTGATGAACTGTATTCGAGTATTGGTCTAGCAAATGTTTTGTATGCTCTGGTTAGTAGTGTGATATTACCAGAGAAAAAGCTACGTAGGATTAGGTTAACAACTCTTAATGCCTTTTTGGCTATGTAGTTGCAGTGGGCTCTAGCACTTAGATCATTAAAGGTGAGTATTCCAAGGTCCTTTACAGAGCTTGGGTCATCAACAAGTTCTTGACTATTCAGCTTGTATTTTATTTTCTAATTTTTTTTGCCAATATGTAAGACAGAGCATTTATTTGTTGAGATTTGAAGTTGCCATTTGTTTGACCATTCTGATACATAGTCAAGATCTTTTTGTAGGGTAGCAGTATTGTCTGTGGTATTGAACAGCTTTACATCATCAGCGAAAAGAACGCAATTGCTCTTAATATGATCACAGAGGTCATTTATGTAGAGTATGAAGAGAGTTGGTCCTAGAACACTGCCTTGGGGGACACCACTATTGACAGGTACAGAATTTGATAGGACGCTCCCAATTTTGACCATTTGTTGTCTGTTTGCCAGGAATGCTTCTATCCAGTTATTCAGTTGTCCAGAGATACCATAGGATTTTATTTTTAGGAGTAGTTTGTCGTGTACCACTGAATCGAAGGCTTTACAGAAGTCTATGTAGATTGCGTCTATTGCTTTGCCCTGGTCGAGTTGTGTCATCCATGTTTTTGCAGTGTAAGAGTTGCAGATTACAGGATAGTTTTTTTCTGAAACCAAATTGTTTATTGGAGAGTAGGTTGTTTGTCTCTAAGTGGAGGATGATGGATTGATTAATAATTGATTCCATGACTTTACAGGTGACGCAGCATAAGGAGATTGGTCTGTAATTTTGTGATGTGTGAGTGGTCTTTTGCTTTTGTATGTGTGTGTGTGTGTGTATGTATGTATGTATGTATATAGAATAAATAAAAAATAAATAATAGATACCAATAGGAGATTGGTAGTAGGAAAGATGGGAAGGTAAGAAGGCTGATATCAATACAGCTCTACTACATGGGTAAATATCTTTAGGGAGATACATTGGGAGAATTCAGCTAACAAACCAAGCTGAAATAAAAGCCTTGGACCCCGCAGAACGCACGGAGGGAGGGAAGCCCTTCAGCCGCGGCCAAATCCTCTTAAAATAAAAGCATCCAAGGGCCAAGTATCTCCCAGTCTCTCAGGTAGAGCTGGCAAAAAGGCAGCGACTCATTCCCGCCTTCTCGCAGCCTTTCCACCAATCAGAAGCGGCGGCCCGGGCAATTAGCGTCCCTGACGTATCTTCCCGGGGAATCTGTGCTGCCGGAGGAGCTGCTCCAGCCTCGCGCTTGCGTGCAGCCGGTCGCGCCTCGGTGGAAGAGGGGAGACGGGGTGGCGGGGAGGAGGAGAAGGAGGAAGGAGGGGTGTTAGCTGTGGAATCAGCACGGCCGGAGGGCTTTGCTGCGGGGGTGGGTGGGTTTTCTTTTGTATTTGGCTTCCCTCCCTTTTGGAGGAAGGAATGGATGTTTTTATGATGTGGGAAAGAAAAGAAAAGAAAAGGGGAACCCCCCCCCCACATTTAATCTGATGTGTCTGTGAATTTTTTTTTTAAAAAAAAGCACCGGCGATCCCCTTCCCTTTCTACCAACTCAATGCATTCCGCGCAATTTTGCTTTTATTTTTATTTTATTTAAAAAATAGCGCTTTGGGATTTCTTTTTGCTAAAAAAACAAAAAATAAGCGACGTGGTTTTCGTTTTTGTTTTTTTAAAGGAAAAACTGGAACGCGCCTTTTTTTTAGAGCAAGACGTAGCTCTCTCTCTCTCCCTCCCCCCCCCCCCCCCCCCAAATCCCCGGGTATATATATGTATATATGTCTTTTCTTTTTTTGGCAAAAACCGGATCCGCAGCTGCTCCACATGAATAGTGGCTAGCGAGGGAGGAGTGGGAGGGCTGCTGCTGTGGGCGGCAGAAGCCCGGCTGGTGCATCCGAGGCGTTGTTCACCCGCTCGCCTCTTTCCTGTTGAAACCACCCCTCACACTCCTCCTCCTCCGCCCCCCCTCCCCGTAGTCTAGAAACGGAGTGGCTGCTTTGCACGGGGCAGGAGCCGGGATGGCTATTCGTGGGGTGGTGGTTGCTCTCTGCCCTGGCGCGGGGGGCTTGCAAGCACCTTGATCGAGCCTCTCCACCGCCCGCGTCCGTGGGAGCTTCCTCGGGGGGGTTTCCTAAAGGTGCTGCCGCTTCCAAGTCGCGGGATCCACCCGGGCAAGCGAAGAGAAGAGAGGGAGTAGTTGGGGGCCGCGGGCTACAACAAGCCAGCCACAGCCTTGCCTTGAATTGCCAGCCTTGCCGCCTTTGCATCGTGAAGGGGGGGAAACAAAAAAACGAGAGCCAACCTCGGGATTATTATTTCTCCTCATCCTTTTCTCCCGCCTTCCTTTTATATAGAGCCCGTCCGGTCGGGATCCCAAAGGCGACGAGGCTCTTGGTAGGGGAGAGGGGGGGAGAGAGGTGTAAGAAGAGAAGATCGCCCCCCCGTCGTTGCTTTGGGGAGGGGGGTTCTCCTCAGAAGCTGGTGGGGGGTGGGCAAAGGAAAGAAACATGGAGGCGGTGATCGAGAAGGAATGCAGCGCCCTTGGAGGGCTCTTCCAGACCACCATCAGTGACATGAAGGTAAGGGGGGCCTCGTGGGGCGGCGGTGGGGGTCTTTCTGGATGAGGGGAGACGCTAGGGGTGGGGTGGGGCGGGAAGAAGAGCCCCCCCCCTTGATCGCCTTTTGCAAACCTGCGCAGGGAGAAGGGGGCTCTACCTCCGTCCCACCTGACTCCTGGCGGTGGGGGGGTGGGGAGGTGGGTCGCTTTAAGCAGGCAGCGAAGCACCCAAAGGCGAATTCCCAGGGCACGGAGGGAGCCCTGCCTTGCTTTGCCTTCCCTTCTTCCCGCGATCGGGGCCTTGCTTTTGGGGTCCAGGTCTCTCCCCGTGGGGGGGGGGGGCGCCCCCAGGGGGTTTCCCTTCGGGGTCCACGAATTCCCCCTTCCCCGGGCCCGTGTTGATCATCCCTGGAGTGGTGAATGAATGAATAAATGTGCTTTTTGGAGCCGAAAGGGCGCAGCCTTTCCTCTATGGCATCCAAAGGGAAAGCATTTCTGTGGATGGAAGGAAGTGTCTATATCAGGGGTCTCCAACCTTGGCGACTTCAAAGCCTGGTGGACTTCCAACTAGATCGGTCGTTGTGTAGAGTTGCACCTCTCCGTAGCTCTTGCTTTTAATCTCTCGATCGGAGGGAAGATCCGTCAGCGTAGGATATCAACTTCGTACAACGCAAAGGCTTGCCCTTGTTTAAATGCTCACGCTTGCCTTTCCTGGTGTCAAGATATGGGAGATAATTAAAAAAAAAAGACATATGTCACCAATAGATCTATCTAATAGTATATCCGGGTTGCCAAGGCTTTTAACATTCCCAGCTAGTTTGCTGAAATGGAACTTCCATATTCAGTGGCAAGATACCTTTGAGAATCAATCGTGGGCCATTGGTTTTATGCCTCCCTTTTCAACCCTTGGGAGTCCTGTAAAAAAAGAATTGGGATGAGGTCTGCTGGGATAAATCAAGCCAGTGTTCAAATGTTTGGGGGGGGGGGGGGAAGCATTTGACCTGATTTGAGTGGCTGTCCTTTCATGGGATATGCTGGTTTTGTATAAAAGATACTGCCCGGTTTTTTTTTCTGTGTAAGTGTCTGGCTGAGAAATTATTGGTGGAAATAGTTTTTGCAGATAGTGAGAACTCTGGTGAAGCGGTTCAAATCCACTCTCAGCAACAGGAAAAGTCTCTGGAGTGACTTTGAACCACTTGTTTTCTCACCGCCTGGGTTGTGATTGTGGAGAAAAATGAAAGGAGGGCACAATGAGTACACTGTGGAATGAAAGGATATTAAAAAGCTAACAAATAAAAAAAATTAAAAACCCATTCTTTTTTAAAAAAAAAGCTCCCCCCCCCAAGAGGCTATTTGGAACAAGGTCTGTGGTCTTTCCTCTCCCAATTTTGCTTGATTAATGGACATCTTCAGTACCCCTCATCCTTATGCTGTCCTATTTGTCCACTCACCTAAACAAAATCCTTTTGTTTCTTTTGGCAAGAGCTTAAAGACACAACTGGACTGAGCCCAGAATTGTAGTTAAGGTAGTCCCTTAGTGTGACTTGTTCCCAATGGTGTCCACAGTGAAGCCTAGTCAGGATAGGCTCAAGGCTTATCTGGCTTTTTGTTGGGAAGGGAGAAAGAATCACATAGGTGAGGTGTGTTATGCATCCAAACTTTTGTGCATTTTTCACATAAAAGATCTTTGAGCACTTGGCAAGCCGTGCCAGCCCAAATAAACTGTAGGAAGCAAGAAGGGACAAATAATAATGATATAAAACAACTCCATATGTATCATGTATATGTGGCAGTACATAGTCCATGATAGTGCCAGCTTCTTGTTTAAATCCCTATGGATTACCTATATCACTTGTGCGCATCTTCAGGGTTGGCCCTGATTTCTTTCCTCCAAACCCCATTGAGTTTGCAAGGTTTTGTTCACCATCCTGCAGATTCTTGCTGTTTAGAACTATCTTGCATCCATTGAGGTGGGGTTGCACAAATAATTCCCAGTTACTTCAGCTGAATTGCACAACTGGAAGCTGAGATTGCAGTTGGAGAAAATGTGGAGTCTTTTCTTTTTTTAAAAAAAAAAAAAGCATGAAGCTGTGTGGGTGAAGAAACGAATGGTCAAAATTCAACTGATGGTGGCATTTTTTGAACCCTTAAGAAATACAGCTTTAATAGCATGGAAGATGGATTTCTCTCTCTCTCTCTCTCTCTCCCTCCCCCCCCCTCCCCCCCCCTCTCTCCCTCCCTCTCTCTGTTTCTTTTGGCAAAAAAAAAACCACCCCAGGATTTTGGAAGTGCATCAATTGGTAGAGTGGGAACAGTCCCCATGAACAGTGTTAATCAGACAGTGGGCCTAATTCCACTGTTTTCTTTTTAAAAAAAGAACCTTTAAAACTGGATTCTTTTGTACTGCCATCTGAGCAGGACTCTGCAGATGTTAACAGGGCTGCTTGCTTCCATGTAAATGGGAGGGAAAATAGTATGTCAGGAATCTTGTCATAATGAACTCTTTGTGATGTGGCTGAATCTCAGCTCTCCCTTTGTTGAACAGCGTGCAAAATCTCTGGGGAAGGAGGTCCGGAGCAAAACCTGTAATCATTTTCATTAAGTCCATTTTAAATGCTTTAACAGATGCCTTCTTCCACCAGATGGACTCTATAAGTAGGCATTGCTAAAAGCCCGAGAGCTTTTATTCCCACTCTTAAAACAGGAAGCAAACATCAGTTTGGGAAAACCTTGTTTTGTGGCTACTTGCGATGGAGGGTGTGGGTACACCTGGAACGCCTCCGCACATCGTAGCATGTATTTATTTAATTGCTGGGGCTAGATAACAGAAATAAAACTGGAGCTCTAATATCAGAGTGCCATTTTTGTCTGCATTTGTTAAAAAGGGGGGGGGGGAATTCACGGAGAAGTCAAAAGATTTTTGATCTGTTTTCAATCTTGTGATGTCATTTTTTAGACCACAATCTTTGCTGACAAACTCCAGAAGAGGGAGCTGTGTCAGGCTCTTAGCAATTGCAGATCGGAAGAATCCTGTGACTCCTTTAAGACAAGCAAATTTGCAACCCCATATAAGCTTTCCTGGACTGGAAGTTGCCTTCCCAAATGCCCAGCCCTTTGGCTAAAGCGGTCTATTTCCAGAGCCAAACCCTTAAATGAAGCAGGAGGATGTTTTCCCTGTTTGCTGCTACTGACTTTGCTAATTGGGGACATGAGGAGGGCTTATTCTGGCTGTAATCCCTTGCACATTTATTTGAGAGTAAGAGTCATGAAATCCAGTGGGGTTTGCTTATCAGTAAATGTGACACAGGAGTGAAGGACCTGACCTTTTTTTCAGACACAGCAAAAAAAACAGTGCATGGGTAATGGGGCAGATAACCATGCAAAAAGTATTTTGAACTGGCTTGTGTGTCTGGCGATAGATTATTAGCAGGCCAAAAGGAAGAAACAAAATGCAGACTCACTAGGATGCATGCTTGAAATGATGAGTGAATTTAAGATAAGCACAATGATGTGGTTTTTTTTTCCATGGCAGTATCAGCATTGCTTTGTTTTAATTAAATGGCCGTATGGAGTTGTGCAATTTTAACAAAAACCTAGCATATCTGGCTTTCTATTGTCAGGCAGAGTTAACAGTGGGGCTCCCTTCTTCCCCTCAAGCCAACTACTTGACTCTATCTGTTTGCACTGGGGCATTGGTTGCTGGGGGAAAAAAAACCTCCAAGAATCTCTCAGATGCATTTTAAATATTTCAGAAGGTAGCTTTAAATATTTGCAGGGATCCGTTCCGCCTGACGGGTTGAAAACCAAAGAACCTCTAGTATTACCTGTCACGGGATACCTGGGGGTGTAGCTCTGACAAGTTAAGGCAAAGACAAATCCTGTTGAACACCCTGTCCTGTCCAAGCTTGTTGGACATGGTTTTAAGTGCTCCAGTTGAGTTACCACCTTTGCGAAATAGTGGATAAATTAACCTTTGTTCAGAACAGAGGCCTCCAACTTTAAATGGCAGCAGCATGCTAATTAGGCCTTCAAAAGAGTTCAGTGTCTTAACAATTCTGATTTGTTACACTGTCCTTTTCAGCTGAAGTATTTTATTTGGGTATGACAGATGCTTTTTATCTTTTTTCCTGGTACTAAAATCTACCAGCTGTCCACATTCTAAGACTTCTGTCTTGGTTACATTCTTCAGATCTCATTTTAACCTTCCCTACTGATCCTAAATACTGGAGAGGTTAAGCCAGTGCTTTTCAACCTTGGCAATTTTAAGAAATATGGACATCAATTCCCAGAATTCAATTCCCAGCCTTATTGGCTGGGGCCATTCTGGGAGTAGGTACACACCTCTTAAATCTTTGAACTCTGATGCTGGAGAAGACTCCTGCAAGTCCCTTGGACTGCAAGGCCATCAATCCGATCAACCCTGACTGCTCTTTAGAAGGCCAGATGCTGAAGAGGAAACTCAAGCACTGTGGCCACCTCATGAGAAGGAAGGACTCACCGGAGAAGAGCCTAATGCTGGAATGATTAAGGGCAAAAGAAGAAGAAAAGGGACGGCAGAGAAGGAGGTGGCTGGATGGAGTCACTGAAGCAGTCGGCATGAGCTTAAATGGACTCCAGAGGATGATAGAGGACAGGGAGGCCTGGAGGAACACCGTCCATGGGGTCACGATGGGTTGGACACGACTTCGTAACTAACAACAACAATATCTTAAAATTGCTAAATTTGAGAAGCATTGAATTTAACTGTTTTAGGATGCCTAAGAAAATGCGGGGTAACCTTTTAAGTAAAGAACTTGAATATTTTAATTTTATTGAAACAAAAAGTTTGGAAACTTTAAACATAATTTCAGATGTTACAGTTCTTAAAGTAGTTCTTAGTTTAAATTAAATTAAACATTCCCTGTTTTCACCAGCTTTGTAATAGCAAATGGCATTTCCAGGATTAAAAGTGTCAACTATATCCACATATGTACTGTGTTGAGTGAACCATCAAGATGTGATTTGTTCAATAAGCCATGATAG